ACGTGGTAAAGCCACGCTGCAGTTATATTAGTGATATAGTTGTAGCACGCAGTTGTAGTTCTCAAGTCTGCAAAATTTGAACCCTGTAGGTTTAATATAAATTTTGAAAATTCCTTTATATTCATACAATTAATACATAAAAGTGAAGCTCTAAGTGTGTTATAAGATTAATTTTAAGTGTGGATAATGTTTATTTTAATTATTTTTTAATTCATGGCAAGTAGTTATAAGTCGATAATAATAATGACTTCCGAACTTAGCTCCCAAATACAGCCTCTATGAAATTACGACGCTCTATACTACGCTATTAAGACGCTCTGGCGTCTTACCCACTAGGGATAGAAGAATGTTGTGATTTATTGTCAAGGTGCCCTTGATTCAAATACAATCTGTCAGCTATTCGATATTTTCGCGGCCTTATCCTGTTTTGCTAAGTATTCTGCTAACTTTGCTTTTTCAATCGTCTATTAACATATAATAATATTGTTACGCGCCAAAGTCGACGGCACTAGCACCATCTAGTGTCGAACCAAAGAACTAAACTTCTGAACTCGAAACACGAACTCTCGGTACCTTGCGCGTGTTTACTTGAATATTCTGGATATTTCGCTGCTAATTTATATAAATAGACGCTGCAAGATGCGATCGAGGAAGTATTGGACAAGGCGAGACAAGCGAAGTTTCGTAGTGGAATAAAGTGAATCAATGTGATTAATTATTAGTGTTTTTAACTTTAATTAGTGTAAAGTGAATTAAAGTGTTAATTTAGGTAATTCTATCGGCAATTTTTATTGTCACGAACCTCAAGCTCGTAACAATTGGTGTCAGAAGTGGGATAAAATCATGCCGATTTTACCTAAAGAGGAAACGGAGGGTGTCCGTACCCGAAGTCAACGCCAGCAGGAGACGGACCAACGAAGATTTGGTGGTGCAACGTCGCAGACGTCGGAGGGCCAGCCATCGGCTGCAGGCCCGTCGGTAGCTCCTACATCTGCAGCACCTGACTTAGGTGCTCTGATGGTGATGCTGCAGGAGCAGGCTCGCCGACAGGAAGACCAGGTTCGTCGTTTGGAGGAGCAGCTGCGGGGCGGACAAGAGGAACAGGCCCGTCGGTTGGAAGAGCAGATGCTCCTCATGAAGGACCTTCACGCTACCTTCGGGAAGGAGATAAAGGAGGTGAAGGATAGGGTTGCTCAGCATGACAACCGCCTTTCGGAAGCTGAAACCCAAATCGCGAAAGCTGAAAACCGAATCGAGAAAGCTGAAACCCGAATCGACCAAGTAAACAATCGGGTTGACAACGTAATGGCTGACATGAAGAAATCACTGGACGAACTCAAACTTGGAGATGGAGCTACAGCTCCCGTAGTAGCTACAACACCTTCGCTACGTGGGTTCAAGGTGCCACCGTTCGACGGTACCTCTTCCTGGTCAGCCTACAAAATCCAGTTCGAGGCTGTTATGAAGGCGAACGGCTGGAATAAAAGTCAGGCCATGACTGCTCTCACACTAGGTCTGCGCGACCAGGCCTTAACAGTTCTGGAAGCTCTCGGTGAGGAAGTGACTTATGAGCAACTCCTTGAGGCATTGAAGGTGAGATATGGCGACGCTCACCTGGAACACGTCTTTCGTGCGCAGCTTAAAGATCGCGTGCAGCGCATCAACCAAAAACCTGCAGCAGTGCGCTCTAGAGGTGGAGAAGCTAGTGCGAAAAGCATACCGGTCTGTACTGGCGCTCATTGAAGGGAACCTGGTGCAGACATTCATCGATGGCATCCGCGACCTGGAAGTCAGAGCTGCTGTGAGGCTCGGGCACCACGAGACGCTTAAGGACGCCTTGGCCCATGCACTGGAGGTGGAAGCCGTGCGGCAGGATCTTCGTTCCCATCGCGTCAGGGAGGTTGCAGCAGCTACAGTTCGCGACCGCAACAAAGGATACAGCCCTAGGTGCTATGGCTGTGGGGAAAAGGGCCACCTTCGATCCAGCTGCCCTAAGCGAACCGCAGAAAGGGAAAGTGAACGATATTAGGAGGGTAGTGCAGCTAACGGCACTGCCTGGCGGCGACAGGATCATCGTTCACCTCACGCTAGGGAGGTTGCAGCGGTTACGGTTCGCGACCACAATAAAGGATACCGCCCTAGGTGCTATGGCTGTGGGGAAAGGGGCCATCTTCGGTCCAGCTGCCCTAAGCACACCCTAGGAAGGGAAGGTGAACGGTCTCAGAAAGGAAGTGCGGCTAACAGCACCGCCCAGCAGCAGCAGGAATACGACTTTACTATCAGACACTTCAGCGGGAAATCTCACGGCAACGCAGATGCATTGTCAAGAAGACCTTGTCCTGAAGATTGCAACCATTGTAGTAGGCAAGGTAAGGAAGTAATATCCGTGAGGATGCTCAGGACAGACCACCTCAGCAAAGGGTGGAAGGACAGCCTACGACATGCACAGCAGGAAGATCCGGACATCAAGCCGATTTTGGGATGGATGAAGGCCCGTGCTACCAAGCCTAAGTGGAGGGACGTCTCAGCGATGAGTTAAACCACGAAAAGCTTTTAGGCCCAATGGGACAGCTTGCTGCTTCAGGATGGAGTCCTGTGCCGTAAATGGGACAATGGTCGAGGAGACAGATGTCGTTTGCAAATGGTTGTCCCTAAAGCTAAAGTGCAGAATGTTCTGCAGCTGTTCCATAATGGTCGTTCAAGAGTCCATCTGGGAGTTAAACGAACTTTACTGAAGGTTCGAGAACAGTTTTACTGGGTCCATTATCGTGACGATGTCGAGGATTGGTGTCGTACATGTACAAGTTGTGCGGCTGTGAGGGGACCTCAGACACGGAGTAGTGGAGCATCGAAATTGTACAATATTGGTGCACCACGGGATAGGACATCCCTTGACATTGCGGAGCCGTTACATAAAGACGCAAAGGGGACTCCTAAGATCGTCCATGTGGATCGCTTGGCGCGTTATTATGGGTCCGATAATGCTCGGGACGAGCATGTCTTAGGAGGGGGCAGTGTTACGCGCCAAAGTCGACGGCACTAGCGCCATCTAGTGTCGAACCAAAGAACTAAACTTCTTGAAGTCGAAACACGAACTCTCGGTACCTTGCGCGTGTTTACTTGAATATTCTGGATATTTCGCTGCTAATTTATATAAATAGGCGCTGCAAGATGCGATCGAGGAAGTATTGGACAAGGCGAGACAAGCGAAGCTTCGGAGCGGAATAAAGTGAATCAGTTTGATTAATTATTAGTGTTTTTAACTTTAATTAGTGTAAAGTGAATTAAAGTGTTAATTTAGGTAATTCTATCGGCAATTTTTATTGTCACGAACCTCAAGCTCGTAACAATATAATGTACAATATTAACCCTAGATCACTAATCTTAAATCGGAGTAACACTATCACTAACCATTCGATTCACAGACTACGCAATGAAACGCAAATATTTTCAAAATCGTTGTTATTTATTTTATAAAAGAAACAAAAACTTGAAAGTCCTTTCTTTAAGGAATCAAACAAAACGATGAAAAATAAACAATATTAATTCTTACAACTATTACAAATAGGAACTGTGTGCTCTCCGCAAATGGCCTTTTTGCAGTATGTACAACAATATTTTGTCATACGCCTTTTTTTTTTGCTGGGCAAAATCCACATATTTTTCTTGTTTTATGTAGCTCTTGTACACAGCTTTCTTGTGGTACTTCAATGTTGGGAATATCTCCAATACTCTTTTTCACATCATGCTGCAAAGACACCGTATTGTAGTGCTCGAGTAGCCAGGGTTTTATTAGTTCATCTGCTATTTGCAAGGCAAATTCTCTCCTCTTGAGCGGTTTCTTATGGTCTCGGATCATATTGCATACGTAAACAACATACGCGTTCATGATACTAATGTTTACAGTATCATAGAATAAGCATAGCGGCCATCTATTGGTTTTGCGACCAGTGCTCATGGTAGAACACATTTGATCCACGGTATCTACAGCGCCTTTTGTAGAATTATAGAAATGAATAATTTCCGGCTTCTTGGTAACAACATTGACAGTGGGTTGATCATGGGTGGTTGATAAAAGGTAAACAATCTTGTTAGACTTGGGCTTGTATGAAACCATGGTCATCTCGTTATCGAAGCAAAACATTGAAGTGCCTACTTGCCGTGCTCTAGAGTTTTTTTTTATTTCCTGGGGTATTTCCCGTTTGTTGCTTCGCAATGTACCAACAATTGTCAATTTATACGGAGCCTGGAGCATACGAGTATCGGAAGCAAGAGGAATGGATGTAAACCAATTGTCCATAGTTAAGTTTCAATTCGAACCATGTATGGGTTTGGTGATCTCCTTCACCAAATAGCTCGCAAGAGGTTCGGTTCCTGGATTAGTTCCCTTGCATAAATATGGTATGGCATTGCATACATATTTTGTGTTCGAGTCTGCCATCATAATAAGCTTAAGACCGTATTTATTTGGCTTATTGGGTATGTACATCCTAAATGGACAACGTCCTCTGAACCCAACAAGCTGTTCGTCAATAATTATGTATGAACTGGGCTTATACCATTTTACACAGTTGCTTATGAATGCCTCCCAAAATTGTCTGAATGGAGCAAGCTTGTTAGAGGCCCTCCGCTCTGTTCTCGTTGTCTTGTCGTCAAACCTAAGGCATCTCAGTAAGAAATCGAACCTATCAGCACTCATGCACGCTTTAAAAGTAATTGCACTCCGTTTGTGGTCAAATAGTGTTCTAGTGGGCAAGTGGTTACTTTTTATAGCCGCTGATTGTATCAAGAGACCCAGTAAAGCCGTCACTTCGTTAGTGGAAGTATGCGAGTTGGTATACTTCTCCTGTTTGTATTTAGACTTCTTGATGTCAATCTCCGTGTTGGTATAAGTAACCATCTCATTGATCATTTCATGAGAAATGAACAGGAGAAATAATTCTCTGGGGTCTGTTATTTCTTTGGCTAAACCTGCAGGTCCAGGGACTACTTGAATCACATTACGAGAAGATGTTCTTGCTCTTGCTCTTTCCATTAAAGTGATTTTTATTGGAACGGATCACAAATGATGACTCAGGCTCCTGCGGCTCCTGCTGATGCTGGATGGACTCAGACCCCAACTGACCTGCATCGGATGTATTATCATCTGAATCTACAAATCTTCGCTTACGTGAGCGCCTGCTGACGAAAATCTCCTCATCAGATGACATCGAACCTTCTTCCTCACTTTCATCAGTTCCTACGTGGGCATCTGCCACCATATTATCTTCGTTTTCGGATTCCGATAGTTCAACTGCTTCATCGTGGTTAGACTCGATGTCTGACTCACACAACCAACGTCGAATGCGCTCCTCATCTCCTCTCAAATCCATCTAAAAATAAAATTGAAAATCAAAACAATATCGTAAAATGGTCCAAAAATATTCATAAAGTCTGCAAAATAAATTTTCCCTTTACTTTTATTCCACAAAATAATAGCACATTATACCTATTTTACAATTAATAGGTAAAAAACCGAGTAACGTAAAATATAATAAAAGTAATCTTGAAAATAGAAAAATATTACAACTAAAAATAATGTTACACAGTCACTAACCTTTCGTATGTCAGACGACGCAACGGCTGTATGTCCTGTTCCAAAGCGAATGCGACCGCCACGAGTGCACACGGGTCACTAACGGGACCTATCAGGAAGGTACTGAGCGGGGGAGGGAGTGCGGGTGGCGCAAACCTACCGAACTATGAAATGCGGGGGTATGCGTAGTCTGAGAGACGAATGGTTAGTGATCTAGGGTTAAAATCTAGCTGCAGCGTGGCACAACCACGTTCTAATAAGTTCTTATACATTTGTTTAATATTATATTATTATTAATTATTATCAGTAATGAGATAATATATAATTTCTATAATTACCTCCTTGATATATTTCAGAAATCGACACAGATACGTGAACTATAAAATGTTGCTAGCAAGTTTCAAGGTTTCTAGACACTTCGGCGCCTCGCGAGCTCGACGTAGATCAAAACCATTTTGATTCATTGCCGGGGTGCCCTTGGCATAGACACAAACGGCACGCACTTCTGTAGTTCAGTGTCATGTCGAGTTTTATAAAATATCGTAATAAGATTTTTATTTTGTTATTGAAATAATAAAGGGATAAAGAGATAGTATGCGCGAAACGGCAGAATACTGTTGCTATGTTTTTGTAAGGTAATTGTGGAGAACCGGAGAACATTTATACTCATCCTTACAGCACTTCCCTATTCCTCTGCCAAATATAGGCCTATCCAAACAATGCCACATAGCACGGTCCTAAGCCACCTGCATCCATCAAATTCCTGCATATCTTATCAGGACCTCACTCCATCTAGTGGCCCCCTACTACTAGTGGCACTACCTTCACCTACCGATAGGACTCAGCCACGCGAGAACTTTTATTCCCCATCGGTTTTCGGTTCTTCGAGCTATATGGCCAACCTACTTCAGCTTGTCCGTTGGGCTATGTCTTTCACTCTGATTCTACTGCAGATTTCCTAATTTCTAAGTTTATCATGCAGAGAAATTCAGAGCATAGCCGAATGAGCAAACTTGTGTACTTGTGCTTCTTCATAAGGCCACACATCACGCATGGTTAGTATAATTTCGTTTTCAAGTTTATAGGTATAACTGACGAGAACGTCTTTCAATGCAGCAGTGAAAAGTTTTGGAGATATAACGTCACCCTGTCTCACACCTCTCTGCAGTTTGATAGGTTTTGTACTCTGACTCTGTATTTGGATAGCTAGCGTAACTCTACTGTAGAAATACTTTAATATACCGGCAGTCAATTTGACACCGCCGCGGGGACTGTTGCACCTCTCCGATTTCGACGGAACCAAAGGCTTTCTCCTAGTCCACACACGCAAGACAAAGTGGTTGTTTATACTCTTGGGTCATATGTACAATTTGCCGAAGTGTATATTTGTGGTCTATGGTAAAAAAGCCTTTTCAGTAGGCTTAATCGGGAGGCTTGTTCGGCTTGTTGAGGAGGCTGGCAGTTTTCGAGTCAGCGTGCGAGGTGACTCGTAATGACTCTTGTAAACAGCACGTCCACGCAGACCGGAGGGGAAATCGGTCTGTTGTTTTTTAAGAGAACGTTACCGCCTTTATTTAACAATAAGACCGTAATGATGCTCCGTACTTATGGTGTAGTAGCTCTGTGAGGGACGGAATCAAAGAGCTCCTGAAGGAGCTTAAGTACTGGTATTTCATGCGCTTTCAAAAGATTCGCTGTAATTCCATCCTCGCTCGGGGATTTGTCAATTTTAAACAGCTGGTAAGCCATTTTATTCTTGCTCAGACTGACGCCTGGTATTTCATTGGTATAGTGTCGGATAATACTTATTTTACTTATTTTAACACTTTCGAGTGACTCCAGAGAGAGTGGCCTAAGAGAGCGCTGTCGCCTTTCCTAAAGAACAAGACCATTGCACTTCTGCTCTACGCCTCTGTAATAGTGCCCGCATGTAGGATGGAATTAAAGAGCTTCTGAATAACTTTAAGTACCGGTTTTCTGGCCGCTTTCAGAAACTTCACCGTAATTCTATCCTCGCCATTGCTGGAGAGCCATTCTAATCTCCCTCGACTGAGGTCTGGGATATCATTGGAATAGTGTCGGATAAGACTTGCTCTTGGATCGCTACTCACACTTACAAGTGTCTTCAACGAATATGTGTACAGCTACCCATAGAGACTTTCAATCTGAACTCAAAATCTCAGGTATTCCGGAAACGATGCCACCACCCCCGGTATTTAGCTGTGAGAGTTGGTTCTTTCTGCCTGTCAGATTTCTGGTAAAGTATTTATAGCCCTGTTTCCACTCGATTGCCTTTTCAATACGGCAGTACTAAAATTGCATAAGTCTCGTTGCATACATTTGGAGATATGTCTATTCAGTTGTTTGTATGCTGTCAAATTTTTTGAAGACTGCAGCTTCATTTCCTGTCTATTAGCCATAAGATTAAGAGTATAATATAAACGTTTTTGTGTTATTCTGTGGCGGGTCTTACAGAAATTAACTACGACCGCATGGACAGTTTCCACGAGCTTGTCATTCATATCGTAAACTGCATTGCAGTCTTCTAGGCCCTGAAAACAGTTTTGTAATTCGAGCTGAAAGGTTTCAAGACTTTGGATTAGAACACGAGGGTGACGGAGCGTTGACTTCATTAGACAAGATCTCTCAAAGTTAACGTTTAGGTTCAGTGTGCCTCTAACTATTCGGTAACTGCTGCCAGTTTCCACCCTTGCGATCACTGAGACATCACTGAACGGCAACTGTTCAACTGTCTAGTTGTCATAGTGAAGTCAATCTCATTTTCTGTCGAACCGTAGAGGCTTGACCGGGTTCACTTTATATGGGGCCGCTTTTTAAAGAAAGAGTTCATCATAAAGAGTCCCCCCCTCTACATGAAGTCTGCCAGCTGCTGGCCCCTTGGGTTTCGTTGTCATATCTCAAATTTCTCTATCATCAGTTCACCCTTCTTTCTTTAGCCTAGTTTTGCGTTGAAGTCTCCCATTAACACCGTACAGTAGGTTTTGAAGGAATGCATGGTCCTGGAAATATACTCATACATTTCCTCCACCTCGTCATCGCCATGTGCCGAGGTTAGTGCGTAAACTCGTATGGTTATTCTGAGTATAAGGTACGCAATCCTCGTCGACACACTACCAATCTTTACAACCGGACACTTGTGAACGATAAATCCGACACCTTCTTTATTATATAAGTAAAAGGTGACAAATGAGCACACAGTTTAGCTGATGGTATGTGGTAAGGGTAGCCATAGACATCCATATCTATCCCCGATTACGAATGAAAATGCATATGCATTGTCACTCGTGAGGACTAAGTTGGAATGCCTCGTTTCCAGTAAAAAGGGTCTCCGGTTCTCTACACTCACCATACGAAACACAGCAGCATTAAGCTACAATTTTACGCTGGTATTCTGCGACAGTGTGATCTTTCCCCGGTCGAGTCGACCCATTTGTGCTACAACTATACTATCAATATAATTGTATAAAACCTTGAGATAGATGATCGCCCTCCCGGTGATAGAACAAGTTGCCGGCTTCGAGAATCACCGTGTCCTCCTCCTCTCTTCGGACCTCGAATAATCCCATAATATGCCAGCGCAACTTGTCTACCTCTTCTTTCAACTCCAGGATCATCTCGTTAGTCAGCGTGCGTGATTTTTATATTTCCAAGTAGAGTCATCTTAGGTGGCAACCGAGCCTCCATCGGGGATTCTTAGCACCCTCTTCCTTGCCGTTATCATAGTCGCCAACGCTATGTGGAATAGCGGTGCCGCCAGAGACTGGGAGCCGTTTATTTATGTCGTTGCTCATGGGAGGTATATTGACATAGTAGCCACGCTTGGCAAGCTGGTTGGCTACCGCAAATTTTTTGTTATACTATTACTGTTACTAGGAAGATGTTGCTGCCAATCTCCTGCCTGTTACACTCTGTCGCCTTTTACGGCACCCACGGTAAGACATGGGATAGTGGATATTCTTAACCGCCACTACACGGCATGATTTATTACTTAGCCTATTATTATTTAAACATGAATTGTTGTAGACAATGTAATAAAAGGAGTTATTCGATAGCAAACAGAAGTTTTATTTATTGGTAAACAAGGTATATTTTTACATGTGGATAGTGATGTCGTGGTTACGGAGTGATGTAATGTCAGTTATTTTCATGCATATATTTAAGTGAATTTCAGTTACTGTTTTAACCATCTGGATTAATTACTTAGCCTATCATTATTAAAACATGAAGTATTGTAGACAATGTAATAAAAGGAATTATTCAACGACAAACAATAAATTTTATTTATTGGTAAACAGTGTATCAGTGTAGTGCAGAGTTATACATAACTGCCGCTGGTGTTAATACCGTATCATTTCTAGTATAGTAGCTTGAATGTGTCTTCCAATGCTGCGGTGAAGAGTTTCTAGGACCCTTGACCCAGTCTTACACCTCTCTGTCGTTGGATAGGTTTCGTACTCTAGTTCTGAGCGCGGATAGCCATAGTAGCCTTACTACAATTTACTTGGCACTTCTGCAGGGACTGTAGCAGTGCCCAAATTTCGAGAAAATCGAAGGTTTTCTCAAAGTCCACATACGCAAGGCGAAGTGGCAGATTGTACTATTTGGTCTTCTGTAAAATTTGCCGAATAATGTGTATGTGGCCTATGGTACTAAAGCCTTTGCGGAAATTGGTTTGTTAGGGTGGAAGTCATCGAGTTTGCGTGCACGCAGACATTTTCACATTGACATTACCACTTATTCTCTTCAAGTTATCACCTCTTACTTCGAATAATGATA